TTAGGGGTAAAGAAGGTACAAATGTGTCCTTTTGAGGGTTGTACCCCTGTTGTACCCATAAAGGTACAACTTTTCAAAAAAAATTTCTGACAGTGTATGGGGAGAGACTGAAGAACAAGACTGTACATTAGATTGATGAGGAAGAAATTCCAATTAATGCTTAACTGCATGCTAGTGAATTGTTTCAGTTTGATTTTCACAGGAAGCAAGCAAATATCTGTTTCCAACTAGGTTTAATGCAGGGGCGTCGCTAGACCTTTTTTACTGAGGCATGAGACCAAGTTAAATACCACTATGTCCAAATAAAATATTACTGATACATTCTTATGTGTTAATGGCATTGATATATATATATATATATATATATATATATATACAGGTGCATCTCAATAAATTAGAATGTCGTGGAAAAGTTCATTTATTTCAGTAATTCAACTAAAATTGTGAAACTCGTGTATTAAATAAATTCAATGCACACAGACTGAAGTAAGTGAGTACATGTACAGTAAATGAAGATACTTTCCAGAAGGCCAACAATTCACTAGAAATGTTTTTTTTATTGGTCTTATGAAGTATTCTAATTTGTTGAGATAGTGAATTGGTGGGTTTTTGTTAAATGTGAGCCAAAATCATCACAATTAAAAGAACCAAAGACTTAAACTACTTCAGTCTGTGTGCATTGAATTTATTTAATACACGAGTTTCACAATTTGAGTTGAATTACTGAAATAAATGAACTTTTCCATGACATTCTAATTTATTGAGATGCACCTGTATATATATCAACTTGAGAATACTTTTCAATGATAATATTTCAGCAATCAAGTCATGTGTTTTACATCAGCTGTTTAGAATCAGTGTAGCCAGATTTGCTAATCTGTTTTGAACCAACTTGTCAAATGGATTTGCAAAAAGGTCTGAAATTGTTCGTGATTTAGTTTAATTAATTTGGACAGTTCACTAATGCACTGAATCTTTCTAACCAGGCACATTGAAAATACATGTACCTACCTACGTTTTCTGCAAAACAAAAAAAAATTATCTATACGTATGAATCTCTGCAGTTTCCAGTTTTTCTCCAACAATTTTTATTCCTTTTCAGACAAAGTATGATTTACAGGGCGTTTCAATTAAGAAAGCATAATTTTCATGTAGTTCCTTGCACAATATTATGTTGACTTCAAAACTATTTTAACATGCTATTTAGTAGGTTTAAGGTTGGGTTTGGTGTAGGGTGTATGTTATATTTAGCATTAACTTTACTAGAGCATTAACAACGTAATAAATATGCTGCAATATAGTGCTGGGCGGTATACCGGTTCATACCGAATACCGGTGTTTATTTTTGTTATGATATGAATTTTTAAAATACCGCAATACCGGTGTATGTCGTTTAAACAACGTTACTAAATGAGACAAAAAAGTAATATAGCCAAAACAACCGCATAGCTGCTCTTTAGTGTAGATGCACGTTGATTTTATCAGACGATGCCGCGATTATAAATGAGAGTGACTCCTGGTTAACATGTATTAAAAGGGGTCGTGTTTAGTCACTATTTAGTGTGGTATTTTTTGACAATATTCACTCATCATGACAGTAAAATAGGGCATTCTAAGTCAATATACTGCAGTATTTCCTCTCTCAATCAGTAGAAAATATGGTTAACACCCAGTCATGCATGAAAAAAAAATACCGTCACGTACCGTGAAACCGGTATAATTTTGAAAAATGCCGTGATATAAATTTTTGGTCATACCGCCCAGCACTACTGCAATACGTGCCTGTAACAATGTAATAAAACGTGGCTATGGTCATGTATTGAACATGCATTTTAGCGCCACTCACTGGACATTTCACTTTTAAAACTGCCGCAAAACATGCAATGAGGTACGTACTGTAATATTGGTGTTGCAGAAACGGTGCTACAAGCATGTATTTTCAATGAGCCTGGGTTGGAATCGTTTGCAGAAGTTTGTCACACCAAAATAATAGTGGGATCAGTGGCATCGCTACAAATTCTGGTCCCTTGCACTAAGTTTGCTATGGGGCCCACTCAAAATCACATTCATTTGGGGGGGATGGGTTGTTCAAGCCCCCCAGAGAACATCGTTCTGGGCCCCTCTCAACCTCTGTTCCCTATGCACTTTGTCCCCCTTTTCCCCTGGTAGCCACGCCCCTGAATGGGATATTTCATAAGACTGGATGAGGTGGATATTTACCTCCACTGTAGGAACCAAAATTTTGGCTATCATTTGTCAACAACAAAGCAGATCTTTACTGCATGTGCAACTTGTGAATGACATTGTGCTGCAATATTTATCCATTAATATCCAAAAAACATTAAAGGCTAGAAGCGCCCCTGGTTTAATGAAAGGGTTCATGTTAAAAATTGACTAAATGAAATTCATTGCAGATTGTGTTGTCAGGGTCTTTCACTTTCTTTTACTCACATACATATAGCTTTCAGATATGTGTTTACACTGCCTTCTCACTCACGTCAAAGAACATCTCATCTGTTCAGCCTTTCCATCTCTTCACAGCATAACCAATAAAAAACAATATCTCAATGCTATTAACCACCTTTTAACCTTTTATCAAATCACAGAGCATTGCGGCAAATGTGAAGGCTAATTTCAAGGATTGTCTTGTTTTTGTGCAACAGGAAAGATGAAAAGGCAATAACATGTCACGCAATCATTCAGGCAAGGAGATATGAACCCTATTGAATATGTTAAAAAGCCCATCTATCGAGCTGATTGGACCATGTGGAGATTATAGGGGCGGGATTAAGAAGAAACACGATCCAATAAAGTCCTTTGTGAGGGCTGCACCAGGCAGAGGCTACAATCCCACTGTCCATCACAGCTGAAATCTTCCACACCAGCTCTTACTTCCAACCGCATTTTGCTGGACACGTTTGTTCTCCAAGGATGCCAAGGTTGGCATAAAAATTAAGAGAAATGTTAAAAGTGACCCAACCATATAGAAAAAATAAAAATGAATAAGAATGTCTGTGACATGATGTCGATTACCACAGAATTTAAACTCATCCCTCAGTTTGTAAAAATAGACAAATAATGCATTTATAGGTATATTATTACACTTACGATGGATTTCTATGGGGCAAGGCAAGTATTGCAAAAATATCACTACAACACTTAAACATTACACGTCAACATGACACTAGTGTGATAATATCGCTAAAAATCGCTTCACAATTTTAAACTCTCCAGAATGTCTCGCGCCATAGACTTTCATTGTAAGTGCACGTTTTTCTTTTTTTCTTTTGGTTAATTTTTTTGTTATATAATCAAAATTATTTTCTGTGGTAATCAACAACATTTAATTCTGAAAAAAAATAATTAAAAAAAATAAATAAAAAAACTTTTGAAATGCCTTTTATAGAAAAGCATTGCTACTTTGGCAACTGAACACTGGATCTGACCTTTAGTGATGTGTCTTTCAAAGGTCTAATCCTGATTTAGTTGAGAAGGCAGTGCAAAAACACACATATCCATTGAAAGATGTATGCGTGTTGACATTATAATACCTGTGACAGGCATCTCTCCAGCTGCTTTTTCCCCCTGGATCTCCTTCCTGTGATGGCCAACGAGGGGCCATGACGCCCACCCTCCCTCTCCACCATCACAGAACACCCAACACCTTACTCAATGATTTTAGCGGCAACTAAATTTAGCTTCATCTACTCGTGAATTTATGGGATATGCTTGATAACATTACTCTGATTGGTCATTGCTTTTGAATTAACTATAGAACCAGAGAGCATCGATACCAGAGCTCAAGCAATTATTTGAACTTTCTTAAAAGTCTTTAATGAAGAAAGCATCTAATTTAGGATCTCGCTAAAAATCGCTTCACAATTTTAAACTCTCCAGAATGTCTCGCGCCATAGACTTTCATTGTAAGTGCACGTTTTTCTTTTTTTCTTTTGGTTAATTTTTTTGTTATATAATCAAAATTATTTTCTGTGGTAATCAACAACATTTAATTCTGAAAAAAAAAAATTAAAAAAAATAAATAAAAAAACTTTTGAAATGCCTTTTATAGAAAAGCATTGCTACTTTGGCAACTGAACACTGGATCTGACCTTTAGTGATGTGTCTTTCAAAGGTCTAATCCTGATTTAGTTGAGAAGGCAGTGCAAAAACACACATATCCATTGAAAGATGTATGCGTGTTGACATTATAATACCTGTGACAGGCATCTCTCCAGCTGCTTTTTCCCCCTGGATCTCCTTCCTGTGATGGCCAACGAGGGGCCATGACGCCCACCCTCCCTCTCCACCATCACAGAACACCCAACACCTTACTCAATGATTTTAGCGGCAACTAAATTTAGCTTCATCTACTCGTGAATTTATGGGATATGCTTGATAACATTACTCTGATTGGTCATTGCTTTTGAATTAACTATAGAACCAGAGAGCATCGATACCAGAGCTCAAGCAATTATTTGAACTTTCTTAAAAGTCTTTAATGAAGAAAGCATCTAATTTAGGATCTACACATACACAAATTATGGTTCTCTTTGTAAATCCAAAGTAGTACAGGACTGCTGAAACAAGAAGTCCTCCCGAGTGAAACAGAGTGGATGAAATCCTTTGAGAAAATGGTTTTGTCCTACAGCCGGTTGACTTGAGCTGACAGGGATTGCATACAGAGCCATATGTGGTGAAAGCACTTCAGCGGAGTGAGACGGTGGGATTGGAGAGCTCTCCTTTCTCCTTAGAGTCCTCGGTGTGTTGTCAGTATGAGTTTTTGACAGTATGAAGGTCCAATCAAATCAAACTCCAGTTTGAATAACAAACACAAAGAAGCCCACATTAAATGAAAGAAACAAAGTTTGACTGGAGCGACCAAACAAATCATACAAAACAAATTAGCATTTTGGTTTTCAAATGTAAACAACTGAAAAAAAAAAAAGCATTTTTAGTGTCATTTGACATCAATTTGTGGCATTTCAATAGGGTTCATAGCTTTACTCCATGTGTACACCAAACACAGCAGGGGTGGGTGCGGAGGCGGCATTCTGCTTGCACAAAGAAACTGTGACACGTGATGCACACTTTCTCATGAGTATGTGCTGCACAAAACCTCCACACTTGCTCTGTCAGGTCTTCCTAAACCCATTTAGGTTGTGAAAATTATTCATTAGTTAGGATTATTGTTAAAACTGGATTAGGATAATAGGATTTGTTTTCACCTCCAGTTTTTGAATTCATACAGAGATTATTAAATCATAATTCAATTAGCGCATTAACAAACCAACCAAAACCTCAATGACAGAAAAATTGCTCACATGCAATATTACGATGAAACTTTTAAAAAAAAATTTTCAATGCGAAAATATTCTACTATATTCTACTAAATATTCAACTTTATATAATGCAATATAATAATTAAAATAATAAACCAAACAATTAAGTGGTTAACAGACATCTTTTTTTTTAAATAAACTAATATTTTCTATAAAATAAAGCATTTAACCATGTGGAGAGGTTGGCTTAGCATACAGAAGTAACTATATATAAATAATCTATATATAAAATAATCTAATATTCACTAAATATTATGCCTTAAACACTTGGCATTAGCATTTAGTTTTTACATTTTTATTCTGATAGAACTCAAAAACAAGTGCTTATTGCTCTAATTTGTTTAGTTGAAAAATGAAAACTTTAATTTCACTAGTTTTTCAAGTAAATATCTTGATTTGACTTCTGAAGCATTGTGAATTTCTTTTGACTAATTTAGATGTTTTGTGCAACACATAATATCAAATAAAATTGATTATGTAGTTCACAGTCATTGCTTTGTGCATTCAGGACTGAAACAGCATTTAAAGTTTACCAAACCAAACCAAAATATGTATTTTTTAATTGCTAATCCATTTCAATATTTAGAAGACAGAAAATACACACGTTTTTAAAATGTAAGGACTGTGAACACGTCTAAAGCCGGCCTTCCTGCCCAACCTTAACCTGACTTTCTGTGCTGCGTGAAAACACTTGCCCATGGTGTGTTGCATGCTCTGGACAGCTGTGCTAGTTAAAAGCATGCTGAGTTCTGTCTCTGCCTAAGTCCCTCTGACCCCCAGTATAGCCTGTCATTACCACTGGACCCAACCAATCAGAAGCCCAGAAAAGGACACATGACTCGTGCAAAGGGAATTGCAGGCAACCGTCTCTCAACACTCGGGGAGCACAGACGCAGAAAAGCAAACACACACAACAGACAGGAGCCGACGGAAACAACATTCAAGTCAGTCATCTCTCAAGCACAAGGGAATCCCACTGTACATATGTAGGTATGCCAGAGTATGTAGTTCAGCATGTGCTGAATGTATGGCGGGTATGTGCTCTAAGCCTTCTATCTCTCTCTCTCTCTCTCTCTCTCGTCTCAGTAGAATTATGTCAAAAAGCAACAAGATAAGAGAAAACATTTCAAACTGGAATATAATCTCATAATATGTAAATGAAGAAAAGCAGATTGTTTGAAGAATTTTCGGAGGGAAAATGACACAAACAGTCAACAGCAGCAGACAGCAAGAAAACAGAGATTTTCATAAACGGAGCATAAGAAGATGATGGCTGACTTTCCTAAATCAACTTCAGTATTAAGCTAAAAGATATATAGTCTATGTAACTGTTAAATTACTGCTTTTAAGTCTTCCTAGAACTACAACACAAATTTGAACACTTTCCCTACCCTAATTAAAACATTTTCCAATGTGTTTGACAGTTTGCATGTTCTATAAAACCTCCAAAAAACATCTCAATTGTAACCTACTCCATCAATAAAACCGCCACCTACCCAAAGCCCACATGAACTAACACTACCACAGCTCAACAGACCTTGACTTCAGCTTTCTGACATCCTGTTTTAGCAATTGCTTGTATGAACAGAATTTAGCAAAGGTAACCACATCAAGTTATTGTCTCTCTAACCAAACATGATAAAACATTATGTTCTTAAATAAATATCTCCACAACTCTGTTGGGACAAACAAACAAACATTCAAGTTTAAGGTGGTCAAGCTGGTCAACTAGCTCAAAATGTTTTTGGAACACTGTCAAGTAGCTAAACCAGCTCAGCCAAGATGGTCTACTAGCTATAACCAGGCTGATCAGGTACTGGGGCTCATCGGCCCTGTAAGATGGTATTTTGGGGGGTCAACCACCTAAAACAAGCTGAGTTTTGGATAATAATTAATCAGCTTAACATATTCCCCACTTGCTTAGCCAAGGAAAGCTACAAATTCTAATCTGATTGACCAAAATGGCATCCCAATTTGTCTTTGGCCTGACCCAGCTGGTAGTTCTTTTGGTCAACCACCTAAATCAAGCTGGGTTAATGAGCTCAACCTATTCCCCACTAACTTAACCAAGATGGTCTACCAGCTTTTACCAGGCAGGTACTAGGTCTCACTGGCCCTGTCAGTTGGTAATATGGGGGTTAACCACCTAAACCACCTAAATAACGTTTTTGAACATAGTTAATGGGCTCAACATATCCCCCACTTGCTTAGCCAAGGCGGTCTACCAATTCTAATCCAGTTGACCAAGATGACCTCTCAAGTTGTCTTTGGTCCACCATGCTGGTAGTTCTGCTGGTTAGCCACCCAAATCAAGCTAGCTTTTGGAAATGTATTTTATCAGCTTAATATCTCCAGCAGTTCAGCCAAAGATGTCTACCAAGTCTAATCAGGTTGACCAAGATTAACTTCTCAGTCTTTCTCTACCTGACCAGCTGGTAGTTACGCTGGTCAACCACCTAAACCCCCTAAATTAAACTAGGTTTTGGAACATTTAATCAGCCCAACCTATTCCTCACTAGCTTAGCCTAGGTCATCTATCAACTCCAACCAGGTTGACCAAGATAACCTATCAGATTGTACAAGACCCCAGAAGAAGTATTCAACTGTTCCTCCTAAACCAACTTGGACAAACTTGGATCATCTAATGATCAGTCAACACCCCTTGATTAATCACAGACCATTCGACTTAAGGTAGCATAAAGTCTTCAAAAGTCTACTCTCCAAATCAGCTCAAGACGCAATCTAAGAAAAGAGAAGAACATCTCAGACTATAGCCCTCTGCTTGAAACCACTTACTGTACGTAGATAGTCCTTGCTTGTACCTGTGTGTCAGTGCCATGTGGTGTTGCGAGTGGTTGGACTCACCTGGCTGACACAGCTTGCCTGACTGAAGGTACTGACTGCACGCATGTAGCTCTGGTTTCTGGAGCGAAACTGTGGAGGGTTGAAGTTGGTTGCTGGGTCCAGAGACACGCTGGGGTGAGGGCGCATATCTCTCCTTGTTTGCAAGTGGTAGCCAGAGCTAAATGGAGGGAATAACCAAAAACTAATGTAGCCAGAGAGTAACCTATTCAGTATTAGATTGAAGGGTCACTCTGCAATAACCACCAATGGTGAACTTTTGGCAAACTCTGAGGATATGATTTAAGATAAAGTGACTTGGTTAACAGCTTTGCCGTCATGAACCCAAATGTAAGACATTTTCAATGTGTAAACGTATAAGCCACATATGAAGACATATACACACCAAAATAAAGATGCATCAAGCAAACTATTTTCCCAGAGGTGCGAAGGAAAAATCATACATTATGCTTGTTTTTTGGACAATAATGAGCATCAACCATCTTATTTTTACTATTTTTCCAAATTGGTTATTGCTTGGAATTGTTATGGTATGATGGCCTAACAAAGAGCAACCGTCATGGGAAAAATCATGTGACATGTTACAGCGAGGCCTCAGAACACACATTATCAGTGCTTCTAGTCTCAATCCAAAACCATAGACAGCAACTATCTGTCAGCAGAAAATACCAGGCAACCATATGGACAGGAGAGAAAGAGCAAAAGAGAAATCGGATGACATTTTTGAAGCCTCTAACACTTCCTCACTGCCAAGACATCTCAAACATCGACAGTGTTCCCTTCATCCTCAGTTCTCTCATCAGGAACTAATGTGTGAATTCTCAACTGCTTTCACATAAACATGACAAGAAAAATAATAACCTTGGTTCTTTATCCTTAAAAGTGAAGTGTGTGATTTCTGAGACATAATTATAAAAATAACGACTGTTTTCAAACTGTCTGCCATTAATCGGCAAACATATACTGTACCACTGATACCCAAACTCACACCACTGATTGAGCCAATGTTGCTGTGTCTGGCTGTCTGGGATGCTCAAACAAACTTTTCAGGGTAATCAACTTTTAAATGGTTAACAAATAGTCATTGCAAATTAAGTCATTCAGAACATTATACACTTCACCTTTAAAATGTACATAATCCAAAAAACGCAGACATAATCTCAAACTCTGTCTCACTATTTTTTATCACCACACACAGCAGCCAAGACTTGTACCTCTCCTTTAAATTTTTATGAAATATCCTGACAGTGAATTTATGCCTGTGAGCCCCTATCCTTTAATCAATGAATGAAAAAAGGAAGGAATTTGATGAACTTGATGGTCACAGTGTTTCCTGTATTATGCAAACTCATCTCAGCCATCATAATACAGTATAACGTCTCGGTTACGTATGGTAACCCTCGTTCCCTGAAGGAGGGAACGGAGACGTCACGTCGGATGACCGACGAATTGGGATCTCGCTTAGAGAGACCAATCTACTTCGAGTGTAAACTAAACGAGCCAATGCACATTGGCATGCGATTATTGCATCCAGCTGCCACTAAAATACAATCAACAAACTCTGATTTGATCATGTTGTCCTTAATATTCTTATGTGGATTGCAACATTAAAATATTTTAGCTCTGTAATATTTGAGATGCTCCTAGCATCAAAATCCAATATTCTTCTGCAGACTACAGAAAATTTCATACCAGCAATTACATTAAGACAAGAGTCGATGATAGTTAAGCCCTGAGACGTCTTAATTAAGTGTCCCTATTGTTATTTAGTGGTGTCTCTTGCCCATAACATCTCATAGTGCACTTATTATAGACACAGTCTTTGGGGCAATGTGGGTTAATCGTCTTTCAGGAAGGGCTCCATGGTGATAAATCATAATCTCAGCAACTCTCCAGCTCCTGGAACACACCTGTATGGGGCCAAATCTGCAAACCAAACACCAACACCTGCATCACTGCTATCGTCAGGAGTCATGGCTTTAAAGAATGCTGTTGGATACTGAGATGGCATGAGTGAGTTCTGTCACTTTTCTAGTTTTAAAGTGCCCAGAATAGTGGCTGATGTATATTTGAAAAGCCAAGCTGTGAATGACAGCTGCTCTGTGAAGCTCTCTGGAAAACCTAGAGAAGATGTTGTTTGATGTTGGTGTTGCTTTTGAAAGTGAAAAGTGAAAGTGACGCACGACTTCCCCACGACTTTTGGGTGGTTGCCAGAGAGTTGTTATACAACTCTCATAATGTTCTGTTCAGCGAGTGTTTTTTCTCCAGCTGCAGCTACTGTATTAAAAAGAAATTCAATCGTATAAATAATAATAATAATAATAATAACTAATAATAATATTAATAAAATAAAAGTATAACTATAAAAAGTTATGATAATCTAAACAGAAAGAAATATTGTGTGGAAATTATTTATATAATTCCTTACTGTTCTACTGTAATATATGCATATACATTTTGGATATTGCTCTTGTATATGCCTTTTAGAAATAGTAATTTATTGAACATGTGACACTTGTGCCAATAGTTAAAGCCACACTCAAATATGCTGATGACAAAAAGTCATACAGGGTTAGAGTTAAACTATAACTATAATTTCTCTTTTACACAATTTACAACACTACAATACGTTTTTACACCCCTGTGGCCAGGCCTCATAAGCTGTTGACTGCACTGAATATGGTCTAAAGCACACAAGATAATAAGACTATTAAGAGAACATACAGTACACAATTTCTCTGCACATTAATATTGTTCACAGGTTAACACCACAGAATCTACACTTCACAACTAGAGAAAACCAGCGGATTCTAATGAGCGCTTCTGCAAATGGTTGGAAACAGCTCAAGCTTTTGAATTGAGCAGAAACAGTTTGATACGGCAGGAGGATAAACAACGGGCAAGACAGTCTGTGGGCAGCTCAGCGTTGAAAATGAGAACAATAAAGATCTATTGAGACTTACCTTTGGGTGTCTATATGTGGCCTCTGCATGGCTGATTTAAGGACAAGGGCATCGGACCGCACAGTCTTCTGAGGCGACGTCTTGGGGCTGGTATCAGACTCACCACTATCATCATCTCCCATGGCTTTGACGTAACTACTGCTACGCATCCGGCGACACGGGATCTCCTGGTCCTTCTCAATCCCTGGATAACCCTCCCACTCATCCTGAGGCACCTGCAGGGATACAAACACATAGCATCAAAGCCTGTTCTCGCACACCGAGCGAGAGAATACTGCACCTTTCATCACACATCACATCAAGCTGTTTGTTAAACCTGCCATATGCAGCTAACTTTCCGCCAATATATCCATCACAATTAGCCAGGAATTCCAGGAACTCCCAGTGGCTTTATTATTAGCAAGTATAAAAATTTAAATAAATATATAAACAGATTTTTTTTAAAGTATTGAACTTCTTCATTCATTTTTTTAAATGTAATTAAATTTAACAATATTAAAAAAAAAAAAAAAAAAAAAAAAGAGGATACAGTTATACATAAACAAGTTTAAATGAAATAAATAAATTGATGTAAAAATGTAAAAAAATGTTTTTTTAAAAAGTAGCTAAATGTAACAATAAATTGTTTTTAAAAATAACAAGCTAAAGAAAAGTTGTCAAATGGGTTAGAAAAAGCAATTAAGAAGTTGCTTTTAAAATGATTTAATGTGTTATTTTATCGTTTAAATAAAATTAAACAAATGATTTAAAAAACAAAACTGGGCAACACTCATGTATAATGCATTATAAAGGCATTTATAATGTATGTTTTAATGCATTATACAGTATCTTTTCATAAATGAAATTTAACCAAATTTAAAATGCATTATAATATTTGCAAATTTCATTACTTATTTCATTACTTTACAACTGTCTTGCTAGATTTGTTTAGATATGCTTGTCATATGTTATAAAGCATTATGCTAAAAGCATAACAGTGAATATATAAATTATAATTATAATTGTAATACATATATAAGTAGAATATATAAGTATTATAAATGTGGTTACAATTGTTCATGAGATCATAAAATGCTTTATAAGGTGCATTAATGCATTGAAACACTTTTTTATATAACATAATATTTAAAGGGTTCAAATAAAGTGTTACCAAAAACAATAAAATTTAAAAAATTAAAATTAAAAAAATTAAACTACTTTTCAAATGAACACACACGCACAAACACTACAGATAGAAAGACAGAGAGATGATAGTCAGATAGATGATAGATAGACAGATAGATAGATAGACAGATGGATAGACGGATAGATGGATAGATAGATAGATAGATAGATAGATAGGTAGATAGATAGATAGATAGATAGACAGAGAGATAGACAGATAGAGATTAATCGAGAGATGATAGACAGAGAGATGATAGATACACAGATAGAGATTCATCGAGAGATGATAGACAGAGAGATGATAGATAGAGAGACAGATAGACAGATAGACAGATAGATAGACGGATAGATAGATAGATAGAAAGATAGAAATATAGATGATAGATAGATAGATAGATAGAGAGAGAGAGAGATAGAGAGAGAGATAAATGATAGACAGAGAGATGATAGATAGACAGATAGATAGACAGATAGAGATTCATCGAGAGATGATAGACAGAGAGATGATAGACAGAGAGATGATAGATAGACGGATAGATAGATAGACGGATAGATAGATAGATAGATAGAGAGAGAGAGAGAGAGAGAGATAGATGATAGACAGAGAGATGATAGACAGAGAAATGATAGATAGACGGATAGATAGATAGATAGATAGAGAGAGAGAGAGAGAGAGAGAGAGAGAGATAGAGAGATAGATAGACGGATAGATAGACGGATAGATAGATAGATAGATAGTTAGATAGATAGAGAGATGATAGACAGAGAGATGATAGACAGAGAGATGATAGACAGATAGACAGATAGATAGACAGATAGACAGATAGATAGATAGATAGATAGATAGAGGACAACTACTACCAGAACTGGGCCCTGGCAGTAAACCTCAAAAAGACCAACATTATGGTCTTTCAGAAAAAGCCCAGATGTCAGGAACACTGATACCAGTTCAGTCTAGGCAGCACCGCCCTAGAACACACGATGCAGTACACTTACCTCGGCCTGATCATCACTGCATCGGGGAGTTTCAGTTTGGCAGTAAATGCTCTCAAAGATAAAGCTCGAAGAGTTCTATACGCAATCAAGAAAAAATTCCAAAATATTGAAATACCGCTTCTAATTTGGTGTAAAATCTTTGATAGTGTGATTCAGCCCATAGCGCTGTATGGAAGTGAGGTTTGGGGTCCACTCAGTGATCAGAGCTACACTAGATGGGACAGACATCCAACAGAAGCCCTACACACAGAATTCTGCAAAATGATTCTAAAACTACAAAGAAAAACACCCAATAACGCATGTAGGGCAGAATTAGGCCGATTCCCATTGATTATCAATATGCATAAAAGATCTCTCAAATTCTGGATGCATCTTAAATCAAGTCCCACAGAATCGCTACATTTTAAAGCAATACAAACCCAAGAACTGAACCCCCTGAGTCCACTCAGTCAGCTAGTTCTGAGACTTACTAACCTGACTAACTCTACTAACACTATCCAGTCTCAAACCAGCACTGCTTCTCACCCGAACATCAAAATAAATCTAATTATCAAACAATCTAAAAATACATATCTGGAACATTGGGATCAAGAAACTAAAACACAAAGTAAATTACAATTCTATCGAACTCTAAAATCAAATTATGAATTGGAAGATTATCTCCAGAGTGTCAGAGACACAAAGCAGAGACGGATCCTGACCAAGTACAGGCTCAGTGAGCACAGTCTAGCCATCGAGACCGGCAGACACAGAAAGAGCTGGTTACCCAGAGAGCAAAGATTGTGTGCTCACTTTGAGACAGGAGCGATCGAGACAGAGATGCACTTCCTCCTTCACTGTCATAAATACAGATCCATAATAAACCGCTACTTCAACAAATTCACCAACTTAATAAAGAACTTTACAGCCATCAGTGAAACAGAACAAATAAAGATACTATTAGGAGAGGGACAGACAGCAGCACTTGCTGCGAGATACGTGTGAGATACGTACGGGATCCTGCCATGCGAGATTCACCACAGTGATCCTTAGTATGTATGTGTGTTTCTAACAGAGACCAATTAGCAAGAGGACATGAAGAGCTGAGTCAGAGAGCTTTGGACCCAAAGCTGGATCAGATTCCCACAGAAAACCTGGATCCCATACACGCTATCAGTCTCTTGATAGTAATTATGTAGACTCATTTACTTATTTATTTAACTAACATTTCAATACATCATGACCTACATATCGTAAAATAAATGATATGTTTGTTTTGTAAGGCAATCAAATAGTGATCAGGTCAGTAAATGGACCGGGATTTAGCATGGTTGTATTATGCAGGTTCAAAGAGAATATAAAGTGATATAAATGACTAGCGGAAGCTACTCTCAAATGCTCTAAAGCTCTATTAGGGCGGTAATCGTTTCTCAGGGTGATATGTCAGTAAGAGAACATTTGCTCGTGATGAATCTCGGCTTTCGGAAGCCAATTATTTCATACAGGGATGCTGGAGTTGCTTTGTAATTTTATTAATTTTAGCAATAGCACATACACACTGCGGAAGGTTGTCACTCGTGATCTAAGTGCTTAATCCATTTCTGTATACAAAACGTGGTTCTTTGTGAGAGTGACACATTATACCATGGAATTCAAAAGCAACAGCGCTTTACAAGACTTAATTAAAAATAAAAAACACGCTTAATTATTGGCATTCATGTTTGTCATTTACAGTCATGAGATGCTGAAGCTATAGTTATCAATGTTGGACTCAATTATTTGATACAGAATCAAAAGAAATACATTTTAGCAATATATAAAGTTTACTTATGGAAATAATAAACTTTAAAAGAATATACTCAAGTGTGAACTGAATGTAGTATTTTCAGATACTTACAGTAAGTGCAATTAAACAAAATTGTATTTTAAATTTATATTAGCTGAACTTTAGAGTACTTTCTTTCCTCATTAAGTACATCTTCATATGTAATTTCATAATTACTTCTATTGTCTTTGAAATATGGTTAAAATATTCTGCTGAATGCAGCTCATGGCTCTTTCTAAATGTCATATTCTGGCCGTCGACAGTTCCCTAGCAGAACACGGTTATAATAAAACCACTGCGCTCACGCTTATTGGCAGTAAATCTGCAGTGAGAAAAAAAAAAATGGGTCAGGTAACCTCTTAACCTTAAAAATTCTCTTACGTCTGAACACAGCATTTGTTAACACCTCCAGTTTTGTTTTCAAGGGACAACGGTAGAAATGTGTGTAGGATGTAGCCATAGCAACCACACATGAATAAATATGAACACATCATGCATATGCAACAGTGCAGCTAAGACTTCAGATGAGAAATAGCTATTGTTTATACTGGAGGTAGTCAGAGCAATTTATTAAGAAGGAAACATTTCCAAAAAATGTCATTCAACAAGGAATGTATATTCATGTAATGTGTGCCGCCATTATTTATGACTTTCTCTAGAAACAAGGCACCCCAAACAGGTTATAAGCCATGTGACCGACTGGTGGGCCAATGCCATCGCACAAACCGTAATCTGCATACTATACTGTATAATAAGGTGAACTCAAAACCACCATGTCCTAAATACAAAATATTTATGCAAACATGTATCCAAGTAAACATTTCACCTCGCAGTTAAGACATCAGACACATCAGTTATTACATTATGCATTGCACTATTGTTTGTATTTTTGAGCAACATGATGTAGATTACAACATATTGCATAAGACAAGACACAGTGACACAAATACAGAACTGCAACAAGATGACACAGAGTTTAAATAAATGTGCATCTCAAATAAATGAAAAAGAGTTCATATGTATTACAAAACAGGCTTCTGATTGGTCAGTAGAGGTTTCCAGCCATGCTAAAACATACAATAACCCATAGGGTTAATCCCCCCCCCC